ACATCATCATTTACCCAGAATGCTTTGTGTGGAAATAAAATGGCTCCGTCAGTGTTAAAATATATTTTTAAAAAAGTACAAAACTAAACATCCTACAGTATTTTTACAGTCTTTAATTTAAAGTTAAAATATATTTTTATCAAATAAAGTCTAATGTTTCAACTAATCAGGGATCCCTTTAAATGTAAATGTTTTTGTAGAGCTTTTTAACAATTTTAGTGTTGTTTTATAGATATGGTTTTTATGACGTTTTCTCAATGGTTTTTTTGTTTTATTTTACTGTATGTTTGTGCACCTCTGTGACCCTCAATGTCTGTGAAAGGTGCTATATAAATAAACTTTTACTTACTTAATGATAAGCACAAAAAGAAACAAAACCCTGTAGGAAAGTGACTCAAGCAAACTTTGAGTCCGTACAGGTTCAACTATAAAACCTTTGAAATGCCAACATGTAAGTGTACTTATGTTTATTATGTATGTTTACGATCTGTTTTACTGTAAATCTGATTTTCTCGTTAGGAAACTAGAGAAACCCTTGAACTCTGCAGTGGTTGACTGTGTGATAATGCAACACAAATCAAACTGTAGTGAAGCAGACCTGTTGTTTGTCTTCTCATCCTCAGGAAACAGAAAGGAAAGTCTCTTGTCTGTGATGAATCAGTCTACAGTGAAAGCTCAGGTAACACAGATTTTCCTGTCTTGTGATTTTCAATATTGGGTGTTTATATTCAATTATATGTTTATTGTAATAACACAGCACAAAAATTAAGGAGATTTGTGTAAGGTTGATTTGTGTGTGACAATGCACATTAGCAATCTTTTTGTACCGTTGCTTATACCTTAACAACAAAGAACTAATCAACCAAACATTAGTTTTCTTGCACTAAGTTTATATTCAGAACTCTGCTTTCATACAGTAGTGTTACCACGCAGCATATTGACGTGTAAAAATTACAAAATTGAAATAAATGGAAGAATTGTAGGTAACAGAGTACCTCATCTCGACCAAAAAAAGAGAAAAAAAAAACTGTCTGTTGCAAAAGTAAGTGACACTTAAGTGGTTTATTTTCATAAAAACATCCGGATATACTTTTTGACATTTTGACACTAAATATAGTTATTATCATATTTACTATATTATTAATTATTATAATTATGTTTACCCTTGATTTTCTTTCTTCGGTCCTGCAAGAAATATTTTGTAGTGAGCGTTCTTAAAAACAACATCCAAAAGGTCCTGTGATTCGTTTAACATAGGCAGAGGTGTAAACCAGCAGGGGGCACTGTTTCTACTTTGAGACATAGACTTAAATACAGATCACTAGACTGAGCCCCGCCCATCCCGTCCACTGGTAGTGTCTGTGACAGCATGGAGGAGCAGAAACAGACCTAACAGGAGAAACTAAAAGATAAACAGCAGCTGAACTGGATCTGTTTCACACATTATCTGTCATGTTTTTACAATAAATTAATAACTATGTTAATTTCATTCAACAATCATGTAAAACAGCAGA